ACTTTTCATTCACTTAATCTTAACCGTTGACCGAAAACACTCGTCAACAACTTTCATATATTATTTAGTGTAAAATATTATTATTATTTTTAATAACTACTATTATATGATTCAATAAAAAAATATAATTATTACTCAAATAATATAAAATATAGAGGGTTTAGTCCTTTAACCTAAAAAAAAGTGCAATGGAATATTTCATCGTTAATGAGATATGGTGAATTAATATCTCATGGATTAAATTTATTATGTTTTACTTATTATGTTTTATTTTGTGATTCGCACAAAGGTAAAATTTATTAGATTTTATTTAATGACTTACTACTAGAAATTATATATCATGTCGAGGATCAAACCAGAAATTTTATGGTGCCACATGTGGCACCATATTATGGTGTCACAACATGATGTGGCACATTATGATTGGTGCCACAACTATCACACATCATGTTGTGACACCAATCATAATGTGACACATCATGTTGTGACACCATAACATGTGCCACATGTGGCACCATAGAATTTCTGGGATCAAATTATCACTCATTAATTAATTACTTCATACAAACAAAATAAATGACTTGTTAAATCATACACGGACACGAGCGGCTAACTGGCGAGAAAACATTGTTTAACAGCTATTCACTGCCAAATAGTTACAGTGGTGCATGATTTTAATAGTATGGAACTTTGGAGTCTCTTTCAAAGACTATATTTGGATTGGGCATGGGGTCTCGCCAAGTTCTTGCCGAGGTTAATAATCAATGCGTGACGAGAATAGTGCTTAGCTCCGAAGGTACTTTTGGAAGCCATGGCACATTGGGTGCTTGCGTTAATACGATTGCATCAAGATTTGTTGATAAATGTGGATCATTTCTTGATCTCTTTTTACAAAGAGTATTCTTATGCATTTTTGGTATAAATCAATTAAAAACAAATGTACTCGATGCCCCTTATAAGGATCGGAGTATGGTTATTTATACACGAAAAAAGTAGAAATATCCGTGTACACGTGTGATTTACTTATTACAAGTAAATATTGTTATAAAAAATGTTTTTGTGTTTTTTTTCAGGTGACAAAAAGAATTTCTAGTAAAGAACTAAA